AATGTATCCCTCCCCCTTGAAGAGAAAGTCAGAGCAAAGCTACCATTATACAAATCCATTTGAATAACTCATTTTGCAGTAGTGGAAGAATACACCATTCTAAATACACAGACAAAAAAAATATTAATAGAGTTACCTTTATACCTGCTGTAAGTTATTCCCTAACACACAGAGCTAAATTCTGCTTAGTTAAACTAACCATAATTTCCACTCAGGAAAAACAAACAAACAAACAAAAGAAACAACAACAAGAAAAGATTTTATCTGAGGGACTTTTTAAAATAAATTTTAAAAAGTCATCTCTCTGACATTAGATTTGTAAATTATTATATTTTAAAATTATAAAGCCCAGTATAACCAAGCATTCAGAAATAACATCTCTAACTGCTGACAAATCACTTCCTTCACTCGGAGCAGAGAATTTATTTCCAATTCTATACAGCGAATTACAGCGGTTTAGGAAAGAGTAAAGGAGAAATTTAAATGTAATGTGAATTTTAAGTAGAAAATTTAATTAGCTAAGCTAGAAAAATAACTGAACCTTAAAAGCTGTACACCAGGAATCTTGTCAAAAGTGAGAGGCAACCTCTCACAACCACTATTTTATACCACAGAAACAATGTTTTTACCAGTAATAATATCTCCTGGAACCATGCCTAGGCATTCTTCCCCTAACATACAGTGAAGAGTGCCACCTATTGAATAACAAACAGTATGTCCAGAAATAATTAAATTATTCTGGAAACGTGCCATCACATACTCCCCTCCTCGACCCAAGCATTCACTTCACTTTTTGATCACGCAGATTCCTGCCAGACAACAGTTTTGCTGCTAACATTGTTACAGAATTGATGGCCAAAACATTAGTTTGGTATAGAAATAAGGCACCCAGTCCACACTGCATAAGTTATCCGATTTTTAGACATTCCCACACTAAATAAGAAAAATTTTATTCAGTTTTGTATGTTGCATCAGAAGGTGATACCATGCTGTTTTGTCCAATCTTCCCTAGTAATAACTGTACTTTCCAGAAATAAGATTAGAAGGTATCAAGGACACGAAACTAAAAGAGGCAGTATTTTCTGAAGGCTGTTCTTCACTCACATAAAAAAAAAGTGTATATTTTCTATGTATTTTTCTTTACTGTTAGAAGAAGAAAACCACTTTCATTCAGAGTTGAATATTTCTTTATTTACACCAGCAAAGTATCTCACAGAGGACCTAATACACAAGTATTTCATACCCATACACTGTGATCTCAGAGTCATGCTACAGAGCAGCAACTGCTAAGGAGACACAGTAGGTCCCCCTGAAGACGCCTTACCAGGTGCTGCATAGCATGCAGCAATGTTAGTCTGGCCACAAGTTACACATTGGTACAGATGACATATTCTATGTTTATAAACACTGTAAATTGACTTTACAGTCTATCGATTTAGAGTTCTAAATACACACAATCTAGCCAAGGAAAAATGCGTGGTATGTTGCAAGAGTCTGTGTGTAATGTGATACCAAACAATACTGCTATAACCCAACTAAGACTTGGAACTGACCCATTTATATACAAAACATTTGAATGAGTCAGCAGCCCACTGCATTTCCCAGGCCTGCTGTAGACTATCACACAGTTCCCAGACGCACTTCCTCAGATTGTGTTTGCCTCATGAACAAGGTCAGTAGTAACAAAAAGTGATATAAAGGTCAGTGATTAGGAAAAGATTACAATGTGCAGACTTATTTTATCTGTTTACCGATTAACCTATTCAATATACTGAAGTTCCACACAATTCTTCTAGTTATTTGCCTCCCATCTTTAACTGTCTAAGATAATAAAGTAGTATATTAAAATGAAGGTCCGCTATTGTTTCGGCACTGTGAACAGATAAGAGCTAAATACGCTGCCTTACTGTAGAGACTCACACACACACAAGTGAACAGCCCCTAAAGCAACCACTGCCTTCTTGTCTGAAGTCTTTGCTCCCATACTCCGTAAAGTACATAAAATTAATAGATGTCAGGAAGAATGTGTCAATTAGCCTTCCCCCACCCAAACCAAAGACTGGTCTGCATTCAGTTGTGTCCAAATTAGCTTTAAACCTGCTAGAATTCCAATCACAGAATGTTAGGGGTTGGAAGGGACCTCGAAAGATCATCCAGTCCAACCCCCCTGCCAGAGCAGGAACACCTAGAGTAGATCACAGTCATGTTAGCTGTGCAGTTCCAGCACTGCCAGCATAAATCCCGCAGATCACAGAAGTTTCTGCAACTGTAGCAACAGCGCTATCAGTAATTGATATTATACCACTGCAGTTATGCTGCTATCCGAATCACAAAGCTTTTGATCCGCACTGGACATCCCTTTTTGAGGGCAACAAAAGATAACCGAAACAGTATTTGTCTTAACCCTGATTTCTGCAGAAAGCAATCCTACTGCTGAATAAAGACCTCCACATGCCAAAGGTAGACTATATGAATTTTTGGTGTGACACAACAAAACCGTATCTTTTTATGACTACATGGGAAAAAACCACACTAAAATCAGCTACACACAAAAAATTTCTACAATGCACAACCATGAAAAACTACTATTCTTCCTTCAACACAGTGATAATAAAGAAAGATTGCGTAAAAATTATTGATCCTTTTCCTTGTAGAATCAAAAAGTCATTAGACAGGGTGGGGTGGTGGGGGATGTCAGGAGGTCTCCAGTCCAACCTGTTCAATGCAGTGTCAGCTACGAGATCAGATCAAATGCCTTATGGTTTTGTTTAGCCAGGTCTGCAAGATTTTCAAGGATGGAGATTTCACGGTCTCTCCTTGCAACCTGTTTCCCATTCTTAATTACCCTCAAAGGCTTTGGGTTTTTTTTCTTTAAATCCAGGTGGAACCTCCCCATTTCAATTTATGTATATTGTCTCTTGTTCTCCCACCGTGTAACTTGGTAAAGATACTACAGCTCTGTCTTCCCTGCAACGTCCTCTTTGCTACTGCAAAGCTACTCTTAGGTCCACTTGAGCTATCTCTTCTCCAGCTTAAAGACACCAAGTCTCCTCAGCCTCACTGGTCAAGTGCTTTAAGCCCAAATCATCTCGGTGTCTCTGTGCTGAACTTGCTCAGGTGTGCAAACATCTTTCTTTACTGGGGAGTCCCAAACTGGATGCAATACTCTAGACACAGTCTAATGAGTACCAGGTAAAGGGGAGTAATTACTTCCCTTAATCTACTGACTATGCTTATGTTGATACAGCCAAGTACACCACTAACCTTCATCACTGCAGGGCATGTGCAGTCTATTGTCCACAGTGATGTCAGGACCTTTTCAGCAGGGCTGCTCCCTGGCCAGCCAGGCTCCATCTTGCACTGTTAGAGGGAGTTATTCCTCTCTAATGCAGAAATCTGCATTTGTCCTTTATGAATGTCATATGGTTCCTGTCTGCCCACTCCTCCTACCTAACTCCCAGTGAGTGGCAGCCCTGTCCTCCAGCTTACAGAGCAGATGTAATCATTTCACCAAAGGCAACAGTCAGGTTGGTCAAGCCTGACTTAACCTCGGTAAATCCACACTCACTATTCCAAATCACCACCACCTCCATTTGCACACCCTTTATGTCAATTACCTACACTGATGCCTCTTGCTAATGTACCAAAATACTTCGGGTTTTCTAGCAAAAATCCAGCTTCATCAGGTTAACCATGCCAGCTGTCATCTCACCTCAGTCTCTTGTACACTCCTGTACTAGTTTGTCTTCTCCACATAGCGCATTCTATGGAGAAACAAAAGCTTTCTTATCTCATGTTAAAATCTTAAAAATATGGATATATATCCACTTTTTAACCTCTGCCGCCAGCTCAGTAATGCAGTAATGTTCTTTTGAGTCTTGAACAGTTTCACTCCTGACTTCACATGAGCAAAACAAACCTTCAAATTTTTGTACAAAGTTATTTTAAAAAAAAAAAAAAAAAGGAAATATTTTCTTCCTGTGTTATTAAGATCTGTGAGCCATCCAACATAAAAACAAATACCAATGCTGGCTTTCAGGCCAAACAAATGACAACTGTATCATCTTAGGACTCTCCTTTTGAATTCATCTGGTTTTTTTAAAGTTTTATACATTTTCCCCCTAATTCTCTTCACTATAGGCTGCTTTGTAGCTCTTTGAGCAGAGAACGAACAGCACATTTACACTGTATATTTAAAAACAAGTGAAAAGATTCCCAAAGTCCTCGAGGTTTCCCTGTCACTAGTATTTAGTTGAATTTCCTTATTGTAACTTGAAAGGAATGTAATAAATTATACTTACTGAAAGAGAAAAGCACAGTAATGTATTACTTGACAGAGGCATGTAAGTTTTGGGTTGTCAGTCCTGCCTCTCTGACTTAGAAATAAACATAGTTTATGTCTACTAGGTTAACAATAGGATCCTCTCAGATTTTAAATTGGCTTTTCCCTATCCACTTTTACTAAAAGTAGTAATAAGGATGAGATGTGATGTACTCATTCTAAAACAGTAATGATTTTTTACTATCATTTTACTTAATTGCTTCTACTTTAAAGGCCTTTACACCTATGAAATTCATGTATTAAATGAAAATTAAGTTACAAAAATACACTAATTCAGTAAAACTAAATGATATAATAACTTAGGGTACACAATATTCCCACCAGACCTGAATTATATAAGCTATAAAAAAAATATATCCTTTTAGGATGCATTTATATATGATTGTTTATGCTATCCTCCTCTGGTAAGGAAGAGAGAAGACTAATTTCTTTCACTTTGAAAGACACTATGTTAATGGGAAACATGCATTACCACAGAAAGATACGTTTCCTAGATTAAGAAAAATTATTTGAAACTTTTGCTTGTATATTTCTTTGGGGATTCCTTCAGGAATTCACAAAAGGTTGCAAAATTTGATTTTATTTCACGACACAGAATGATAAACTCAAAATTTGCAAACTGAGGGGAAAAAAAATACAACAAAAATAGGAGACTTACGAGATTTCTCTCCAGGGATTTCAGCTGATGATCTATTTCTTTCAGACGATTTTGTTGATCACGTTGTTTCTTACTGTCTCGCAGAAACTTTTCACCTGGAACTGCTTCTAGGCTTCTGTTTGCATAAACCAGAGACTCCTGACAAAAGGAAGAATAGACAGAAACTAAACATATGACTTTATATTGCTTCAAAACCAGATGAGTGTTCTTTTGATTTCTGTCAGAAAAACATTGAAATGTTTAAAATAATGTGTCAATTTCAAATTTAGCAAATGTATAATTTTCATTATGCGGATTTTCAAAGGCAATAGCTAAACATCAGGCTGGACTTATTTCAATAGAAGAATTCCTCCTCTTCGCACAATGCAATGCTTAAATTCTACTACACCAATAAAAATGCACAATGGAGAGACAGAATGAGTGGTTCAAAGCTTGCTCCTATTAACCGTACTGGGATTAGAATTAGGCCATGAAGGAAAGGAAGAACTGAGCTGAAATGACTGTAGGTTTTTTTTACTAGATTACTGTGGTAGCTGAGAAATAACCCACTCTCTGTAAGCTGGAGTTAGATGCACAACCATCATTAAAGATTTGGGTTACGTATTCTCACTTCAGTAGCTTGGATCAGATTCTGAAGCTTGTATCAATTCTTAATACATTCAAGGTTCAATATTACATCTAATTTAGATCATTGAGAATGACAAGTATTGGCAAAACAGCAAAGTTATGTTGGAATTGGAAAAAAACAGGGCTTCCTCTTGCAAACCAAAGATCCTATAGAAGAACCTAAGGAATTCAAATAATGATGGGGGGGGGGGGGAACCTACAAAAAAGCCCACCTGTTAGTCAATTCAACCCAAAAAACCATGGGCAACTATTTAATAAAAACATACTTGATTCACTCTTATTTTCAGAAACAGCTCAAGCAATCTTAAACACACAAAAGGAAAACAATTTCAACTAGTGTGTCTAATTGGAAAGAAAACCAATCTTTACAACTTAATATTCAACGGAAAATTTCTCAACTACGATATACAAAGAACTGTGAGCATCTGTAAACAACTTTTTTAAAACATCAAACAAATCTACGAGGTCTGACATTTAAACCAAACTATTAGTTGCCTGAAAATAAACTCATTCTAACACAGTACAAATCTTTGAATACATATTTACAATCAGCAATAATTGGCAGAACCACAATGCTAGTAAATTTTCCTATAACAGAGATATAAAGAGCGCCTCCTGTTAACAACCAGAATCCCTCCAAACTGGACTGAAGTTTAACATGGGCCACTTAAAGCCAAACTCTTAATATTGAGTGGCTAAAGCTAGGCTTCTAAATACAGAGAGTTTTTTCATTAAATACGATGCCCAATGGCAAGAAATTTGCATGACTGACATCTACACAGAACATAAAAAACAAAAGGACTTATTTAAACTTGTGTTCTTTAATACATGAAACAAGGATATAACCTTTATATCTGCAATATAAATATAGAGTTGTCAAAGCAGCCAAAAGTATAACAACTGAAGCTCGCTCTAATAAGAGGAATTGCTTTTACATGGCTTTGTTCTTTCAGTAATTTTAATACAAGTGAAATCACTTGTGGAAAAGCGGGGAGGAAGATGATGGCATCATACTACTTTTTCTTTAAAAAAAAAAGTTTTAGCTATTTCTGTAATTACATTTCTAAATCCAATCTTTAGATCTATGCATATACAGAGACATTGCCACGTGAGCAGTTAGTGCTCAGCATGGATCAGAGCTGCAGTCATGATTCGTTTTAAAAAGCAAGGTTATGAATACACCTGTAAGAATATACTACTAGTGGTACTCAGAAGTCACTAAATACTGTATTATATTTCCAGTATTTTATTTTGAGGGTTGTATGCATGGACTACTGTTTGATATTTTTATATGAACTCAGCCTTCAATGAAGAACAGAGCTCAAACTGCAAACAGCATCTCTGAAAATATTATTGCTGCAATATCAGCTTAAGTTTAAAAGATGACAGTGAGAAGAGTCACAAAATCAGAAAAGTTACTCCCTTCAAACCTTTTACTTTCTTTGCCACACACATTTCTGAAGCAAAGCTTAATGCAGATCCCTGTCCTAGTCTTTCAAATAGTTTCAGGCATACATGTTTCATTTTACAGACAGCTCAGCTGCTGCAAGCACTTATGAGCAACCTCTTCAAACTTCAGGAAAACCATGTACCCTGTTATTTTTCCTTTTATCACACTCAGTATGATTTTAAGCTTGGTTGCTTCTCTAGTAAGGTAATATTGTTCTATCAAAAGAAATTCTTAGCTGGGATAAACACGACTACTTTATTCTCCATAAACTTTTCTTGAATATTGATCTCTGCCATGATACCTAACCAATTCTTACCAGAGTGTGCTGGATGAAACTTGAACTATGAACATTTACCAGAAAACAGAAGTACTTTCAACAATTCTCCAACATCAACATCCACAACCAAGATAAATCTATTTAGACAAGATGGTAAAAAAATGGTTACTACTTACTCTCTCTCTGATCAGCATGATTTTGCACACTTTGATCACATTCCCTCTTTTTTCCCAAACTGAAGAACATCTCTGTGTAAGTCACTCCTTCCATAGAAGCCATTCTACATTTCTGAGCATTCTAGTACCCAGTTTCCCAGTACTGGTTATGAGATCCAGGGACCACAACTGCACAAGTCAAACTATATGGTAGTCCAGCAGCACACTGGTATTTTCTGTTTCATTCTGTATTCCTTTCATAATTGTTCCTAATGATCTATTTGAGATCTGACCACTATGGCGCATTAAGCTGCTGCTTTCACAGTAGTTCTTCACAGTCTCATTTCTCTCATCCCTGAATAGTAACAGATCAGAAGTCACAACACACAAGCAAAGTTAAGACTTTTCCCCACTTAACTGATTTTTTTAAATATTTTTCTCAAGATATCATGAAATAAATGTAGGAAGTATTGTATCATGGAAAATATTTTATTGTCAATATTTCAAATGCTTCACAACATTTTATATTTCAATTACATAGCACGTGTAGGTAGTGGAAGTCACACTGAGCTTAACAAAGATCTAAAAATCTTAAAGATGAGCTAGAAAATAAAACTATTAGATATGTTACACAAAAGAAGATTGTACTTAGAAGTACTTAGCAACAGCCAAAGCTGTAACGATCATAATGCAAAACAGAAATATTCAGTTTTTGAAATAGCTAAAATTATTTGTTGCACTCCCTTTTCTCCAAAATTCTATAAATAAATAAAAACAAAATCCCACCTAGTGAAAGATACTAGTGTCTTACTATCTTCTTGAGCCAGAAAATTGGCTGATCAGTTGCTTCTAACCATGCCCTGAAATAGGGTAGAGAGACCTGTCAAAATCACCTGTTTTGGTGAAGTGCAACCATGGAGTATAGGCTATCGAAGAGGTGAAACATTAGTGATTTTTCATAATTTTTTTATCATTTTGAGTACTTATTTAATTTTAAAGTGGTAACTATAGTCTACCGCTATAATTGAAAAATGGAATATTTTTCTGATAAAAGAAACCAAATCAGGTATGAAAGAACCCAAGGTAATACTCAACATTAAAGTAATTATGTTTATAAGACAATCAAGCAGACAGATAATATTGTTTCTTTAAAGACTGTCTCCATTCCCTTTTACTTTCAGGTAGTTTTCCAGTTTTTCAAGCTGGTAACTGTATTCATCACATACAGTCTTACTCTTCATGTTCTTCATCCTACCATTTTCCTGTCTCTTCCAGGATTACAGTCAACTTAATAGTTTTTGGGAAATACACATTAAGTAAGCTAGAAGCATTTTTAAGCATTTAATAAAGTTGGCACCACAACAAAGAAACATTTCAGAGAAATACAGTTCTGATGAGAAACATTTCCACGTAAAAGAGAACATCAGTCATGAAAAAGCATTCTGAACCCAGCCGGACTCACTGCACAAAAAAGATGGATCTGTATGCTCTTCTCTAACAGCTCAGCTATAGCACTATCAGATAATTAAAGCCAGTTGTTAAATATTTCAGAGTAGAAGCATAGATCCTATATCCTGCCGCAGCATCTACCAGTGGCAGAAAGCAGCTCACCCACTGAGCCAGTGGTGATTAAGTGTTTACATTTTGAAAGTTATATCTAATGCAATTCTTGGAAGAAAAGAAGGTGCAGCTTTATGACATGCAATTCTAAGCTACCTTTATTTTAATTACTTCTAAAATTCTCAATGAAAATCCATGCAGATGATTTACACACTAACAATTTTTCCCAATGATTCCCATCACTAATGCATTATACTCTTCTCAACCACAACAGATTAAATCCACATCTCATCGAAATCAGAAAGAATTTCAGCACTGATTTTTAAAAGAAAGATTAATGTCACTTGTCTACATTTAGCCCATACTCAGGGCTAAACTATAAGAGTTGCTTTGTCACCCGACAACCCCTCTCCAGCCAGAGACGGGACTCAGGAAAAAGGAGAGCAGACCCATGGGTAGAAGCAAGAACAACACCCCCAATACCAATAGAGATATACAGAATTATACTCACTCAAACAAATACCCAGTCATCACAATTAACCGGAGAGCAGTCCTCAGGAGGAGTCAGATGAGGAGCAAGAGAAACCCCAGCAGGAACCCCACAGGAGCTTCCCTTCCCCAGCAAACCTTCCCCCTTTACAATGACCATGACATTATGGGATGGGCTACACCTGTAGCTAACTCAGCTGCCTTGGTTGACTCCAAACTGCTCACGGCCTGCCTGGCATGGCTGGGTGTGATTCTGTCCCAGCCAAACCAGGACATCACTGAAATCAGCCTCTTCTCCAAAGGAAGGAACATCCATGTGCTAAATCAGACTTGTGATCTGTAACTACACTCATTCAAAATAAATTCTGTATGTTCAGAATTTTTTTTTTAGCTCTTCTGGCACATTGATTTAAAAACAAACAAACAAACAAAAAACCCCACCACGCTATAAAAGCCCAAACTCCTAAGAAACAAATGTTGCAGTGCATTCAAATTTGCATTCCGTAGCATATGTGCTAACATCTTTATCTAGCAATTAAGTTTACAGAACTTACCTTAGTTATGGGAGTAGTGATACAATCTAAGCTGAAACTCTTAATAAATCAACAGAAATTTGAGACTTCAACAATATCAGATTATCACTATCAGTTCTGAACACTACAGACCCCCAGTCTCACCAACAAATATTTTGTCTCTCTCAATGTTTAGACAATATGTGAGAGGGTGAATAAACAAGGTAATTCCTGCATATTTAAATCACCTATTAGTGAGTTATGAGTGTCCCACTTCTAACTAAGGATAACAGCCTTCCAGTGCTGATAGCTAGTTTACTTCCTCATTTAGTTGCTGTGGTCAACTGAAGAAGCAATTGAAAATCTTGACATTAAACACCTGAAATTAAACACAACAAGAGGCAGACAACCAAAACTCTTACTGCCTTTGTGTTGCATGTGGCATTTATGCTAACATATCATAAAACAAGATCTTTTAGCAAAAGCATCATTCAATTAATTTTTTCAGACCCTTTCTGGGTAGGTATCAGTTGGCTTTGATTAGGTTCCAAAAGACATTTAGAACAAAAATTCTGGTATTTGTCTGTGACCCACCTATTTTCTGGTATCAGAACTGATGCTTCAAGAATAACAAGTTTTTTAAATAGCAAATTCATTAAAGCTTCCAGTTTATACCAATATTACGGTCATTTTTTGTGCCTTTTGACAGGAAGCTCTCTAAACTCAAAATAGTCAGCTACTCAGCTGCATGTGTTACTTCCTGGTTTTTTGAGAAAGCAACTGTTAAAGGGATTTGAAAAGAAAAGGTGTTAAGAATGTACTCACATAACCAAATTCAGAACACGACCTGTTGTTATTGCTATGTATGAATTGAAGAGTTATCTTTTACCCACCAAAACAAAAATAACCATAACCAAGACGTGGTATGAAGCTTCCACAGTAAACAGTCAAGCTCCTGAAAGTCGAGACAACTATCTTGTCCTCCACTTACCACAACAAAAAAAAATTAGCAACTGAAATTACATGTTAATATAAACAAGCACAGTCACGTCACACTGCCAGACAAAATCAGATTGCATCTACCAAATCAGGCCTCACTAAGAACTTAACACAAACTTGCCTAAAGTCTGGATCAGAATGAAACTACAGCAACCACTAGACACCCTGTCCTCTGCTGAGAAAAGTAGCTCTGGACACACAGACAAGTGGAATGAAGGCACCTACGGGATTTTGGAGTCCACTGGGAAGGCATCTGGAAATCAAGACACTTCTGGAATTAGATAGCTGCAGAGTCAGAGGGTTTGCTTTTGTTGTTTGTTTTCTCGGGGTTTTTAAAATTACTTTTGCATTTATGTAATCTGTGTCCTTCTCAATCCAGTTTTAAATAACTAAAGCCCCCTACTCACTCCAACTTACATGTGTTCTGTTTAGCTCTTTCTCTAAATCTATAAAGCCACCTTTAAATAGTCCTATTCTTTGGTAGCTTTCATTAAAATGACATTAAAATGTTTAAGTTTAACTGAACAAAACAAAAAATGACAAATGGAATCCTGTGTTTCCCAGAACTACAACGTCTGCAAAACAAATTTGAAGGGCAACCGCTTTTCACTAATGAAGGGTCATTTATAGAATTAACTATCTCTTTTTGGTTAAGTTTAATATTATCCAAAAAAATTAACACATTACTCTTCAATAAGCATACGCATAAATGCGGATTTCTATTCAAATACTTTTACCTGAAAAGAAAGCACCAACCACCACTTGGAGAAATGTTCCCAAACAGAGCATTCATCATCACAGGCAGCTGCGCTAACTTGACGCTGATGTCTCCTAACAAGCACAAGATCTAGCAATCATTGGCAAGCTCAGCTCCACGGATGGATCTGAAGTTACTGGGTAACAACTGCATTTGCACAAGTGATTACCCACTAGAGGGAGTCGCTGTTTCACACATTAAATCCCAGTTGCTAAATGATCAACATCAAAATGTGACTCCTCTGGAACTGTCAGAGCAACAGAAAATAGTACCATAGGTAAAACAAAACCTGAAGTTCAGAAATAAGTCAATACAAAAAATTACATTATAGTGCTCTTTAGAAAAAGAAAACAAACAAACAAACAAACCAACCCACAGGTACTTTAGCTATTCAAAGAGCTATTTCTGAATATCTCTGAATGAAACTGAATGTAACTGAAAACATAGTTTTGCCAGTGCAGAGCCTCTGATACACCTGTTCTGGCTATAAACTAAATTTTACAGAAGTAAACAAGTTTTGTGCAAATTACTGCAAAATAGGAATTACGGTATCTTACGTTCTATTTCCCCCGTTACATCAGGGGCAACATTACTGAGGCATGGGATAAATTGGAGTCTTCTACGTACAAAATTCAAACAGTCATTTCTCAAGGCTGAGACCCCAAAGGTTCTTAATACTGCTGGCAAGGGAAAAAGACAAAGGCTATTAAAAACAAGGGACATCAATTGCAATTGTTTGTCTTTAACATTGTTTATGGATAATTGCTTTATCTTTCAGATCATAAATGAAGAGGCACTTTTGGAATCCTGAGATAAGAAACCTAATTCTAAGGCCTTAAAGATGAATTATCAGGGGTAACGTGTTACTATGCTGACAAAGCCACTGAAGCCCTCACACGGCTAAAAATGTCTGAGTTACCAATTCCTGCATATGAAATTTCTTGTTGAAAGTGTGGATAAACCAACAAATGCTAAAAACCAGACGGTACTTGACATACATACCACTCAAAATAGCAACATATGAATTTTCAGTACGATTTCTATAGCCAAAGATTTCACTCCATTCTTTAACACATATACTTTGAGAACAAACAGAAGATACTAAAGAAAAATGCAAAAAATACCAACACAGATGCATGCTGTATTTTCATTTACATCAGATCTAAACATACACTACAAACAGTAAATCTGCAAGATAAGCTCTGTTCTGTAATATACCTGATAAATTTGGCTTGGAGATTTTGAGCAAGAGCTGGAAATCACAGAAGAATCCCCATCAGATAGTAGTACTTGAAGCTTAATATCTATCTCATTTAGGTGATGAAATTCCATTGGTTCAGGTGCGTATCCTTCTCCTGGTGCTAGACGGCCAGACACATCCTCCTATTGAAAGATACAGAAAGTATTTAATCCTCATTTCCAAAGGAACATACTTTAAGGCAGTTACACATCAACTGTATTTATTTTTCAAATAAACCATACTTAACAGCAAAATGTAAGTTTTTGTTCATCTCAGTATATAGCTGAAATCTGCGAAATATTCATGTACCTAGCACACTCAAAAGCAGATACAAAAGGATAGAATGATTAGAGGCACACATTTTTCACTTTTAAATATAACTAAGCAGCAACTTAAGTAGACTTAAAAAATACATATTTAGTTTTATTTTTAGAAAGCATATGCATCTACATGCATTGTTAAAATGTAATAGCCAAAAAAGGTGTTGTGTTAACCTAAACAGACTTCCGCTACTATTTTACTTATTTCTATAATAAAGTCCAAAGCCTGTGTCTTCACTGACTAGGCACTCAGAAGCCCTGAAACAAAATTGCTTAAAGATAGGTGCTTTGCCTCCATGCCAGCTGGCCAAGGAGCAACCAGACAGCTCCCAGGTTCCCCATCCGTTCTTCTGAAGGTTACACAACTCCCTTGATCAAGTTCTCTTACACGCAAGAGAAGCACTTTGGATGGCTAAACCCTTTTTCTTAACAATGCACCTCACTTTATAGCTTCTTAGCCAAGTTAGTCAAACCTTTAAAACAATCTCATGCCGTGCCTGTGGCAGCTCCCTTCAACGGATGCAAACTCTTCCCTTGTTGCAGTTTCTGTATTTGCTCAACATGGCAGCCCCAGCTCCCTTTTGAAGAAACAATAGCTTGTCACGGTCTAACTTGCATATATAGATCTTGCTGCCCAGTGCTGCCCAGTAAGCACCACTTTCTGATGCCACTGACACAAAAATCAATTTAGGAGTGTTGTGCTCCTTTGCAAGATAGTGCAGAGGATAGAGATGCACAGGCAAGTGTCCGGCAGATGTATATCCACCAGTCCTAAGACAGAAAACACAGAACATGCTGTAAGCTCACATTATCAATGCTAATATTGACCTGGAAAAGCACAGCCCTCAAAAACTGCACTAGAACTGTCCTCAACACCATCCTAAATCACTTCTGTTACACCTTGCATCTCAGCACTCCTTGTTTGCACACTTATTCTGGAGACACCATATTACAGCTTAAGTCCAAGGAACTGTACAGAGTTGACCATATAGCAAACTTGAGACAGCAAGGTATTTTTTGCTTAAAAAAAAAAAAACAACAATGCAAGTCAACAGGCATAAAAATGAGATGTTCTCAAATACACTGAACACATTTGTCAAACTCCCCCATTGAACTTGCATCTCAAAGTCTGCAGCAAATGCAGAGACACATCTGTTCAGGTGCGCACCCAACCACACCTGCACAGCAGCACATTAGAAGTCCAAATAAAGTAGAACATAATGCACTACTCTCTACTGTCCTCTGAGGGAAGAGGAAGCAGCAGACTCCTGTGCAAGACAAAAAAGGAAATAGAATCAGCAGCTATGTCTAATAGGACAACCACTTTCCATCTGATAAGGAGTCAAAAAGAGAGAAAGCCTGACCAAAACCAGGCTTGGAATGAAACTGCAGAGGTTGACGCTATGGCAGAAATCACCTAGAGCCAAATCTCAAAATGAGGGTATGAGACACAGTGCGACACCTGCAATGTATCACCAAAGGAGAAAACAAGGCATCCATAGGAAAGGAACTGCTCTGAGGTGAGTAGCTGCTGTCCTTCTACAGACCCAGTGTGTTATCACAGAAACACTGGAAGAGACAGAGAGCACAGAGTTCTTTTCCTGATTGCGGTTTTCATTACCTTTTCCTCTTGATAGCAGTAACACCTGACTAACAAATATGGATATCTGCTCCTAGTATAGATGCATATTGTGAGTGAGCTTGGCCCACTTAACCCAAACAAATGAGATCATATTCACAAACAGATACAGGTTCTCCACAGCAACCTTGGCCCTCCTGTCTCACTCTCAGGGAAGAGAGTCTGCACAACACCATTCACTGGGAATAACCCTAGCAGATTACACGTCTGTCCTGACTGCAAAAAACCACCAGGTACGACCTTAGAAGGGCAGGGCAGGGATGTGGGGGAGGACACCAGTGTATTGATGGTTTCCTTTCTTTTTCCTAACAGAAGAGGGCCAGCACCTTGCCCTAAGACTTCAACATCTGTCTTGCAAGGGATTCATGTCCACCAGCTCCTGTACAGCTTCCAGACTAGTCCTCTGGCTATTCAAGCAGCCACATCCACCAAGAGAAGGAAATACTGGCTTCCAATTACAATACCACTGCTATGAGGTCATCCCTGGTTCATCCCCGTTACCCTAAAGCACACTGGTTGCAAAAAGAAAAAAGCATAACCTGTCATAAATTACCTCCTTATTAAAAAAAAAAAGGGGAAAAAAAGGGGAAAAA